GCAGGGGGCGGCTGGTCCCGCCCGGCCCCGGCCCACTTACCATGGCGTGGCGGCGGCGGCAGGCTGGGAGCCGGCCCGGCCCGGCTGGGTGCCGGCCGCCTCCCTTCCGCCCCGCTCCCGCCCTCCCCGCCCCGCGGCAGGTGAGGCCCCGGCCGCACCGCGCCTTCCCACAATGCCCCGAACGGGAACTCCCCGGCGCCTCCGCCCCGGCCGGGCCCAGAGGGGAGCGGGTGTCCGGGCCGGGGAGCGGCCGGCGGGCCGTGGGGTTCCCCCTCAGTTGGGCTTTGCCCGGCGATGAGAGACCCCGGACCGGGCGCTCCCGGAGGCGGGGAGCGGGGCAGGTTTCCGACATAGCGGTGGTACGATCCCCTTCGAGCGCTCGGTTGTGGGGAGGCCGGGGCTGCAGAGACCCTGCCTGCACAGGGGTGACCCCGGCTGTCACCACCAGCCTCTCGAAGGACACCTTTTTCAACACAGTTTATAAAGACAGAGTTCGTGTCCCTCTTTGGCCGTAGCTGCTAAGCGTTCATGCCCTGAGCTCCCGGCACGGCAGCTCTGCGGCCCCTCTCCACCACAATGAAACCGGGATAGTTGGAATACCTCGAATGGCTGGGCTTTGCCAACCTGTGCTTTTTGGCGGAGCTGGGCGAGAGAGCAAGACACGAGCCGCCCTGCGAATCCCTGTAACCCCTGGCAGGGATTTGCTGATAAGCAGCTGGTGCCAAAAGAATGTGCAGCATCCACAGACTCAGCACTTGAATCAAACGCTCTAAATCCAGGCCTGAGGCTTCTCAAGCCCTTACCAGGAGTCTCATCCAGATGCAAACTACCACACCAGCATAAAACGTGAAAACTTTGGATGTTTAAAGTCCTAGGCTTGTAGTCCAAAGGAGAGAGGCTCCCCAGTTCCCAGCACATGTCTGTCCCCGAGACTGGTGTGTCTGGATTCGGGATATGGGTCCCACCTGCTCCAGCAGAGCCATTCCCTGCTCCTGTGCAGTGCTAGATGCATCTGAGCCATCAGTGAGAAAGGGAAACCTGAAGGAGCACAGGGACTCCAGGGGACACTGGTGTCAATGGCTGATGCTGGTGGAACCCCTCTTCAGCCACCAGCTGCTGCAAAGGGGGAGAAGTCCCTGGGTCAAAAGCAATTGTGTGTGGGTGGCTGCGAGGGCAGCCGGACTGAAATCCAGTTGGAAATGCTTGTTTGCAAGAGCAGAGAGCATATGCAGGGGTGTGCTCCTTACGCTTATTTAACAGTGTGGAAGTAATTTCCACATTTCCCTAAGCATGCTTACTCCTCTCTGCCTCCGTAAGCTTCAAACGGTCTATACAGACATGGTGTTGACAGAGCCCTCTGCTGCTGCTTGCTCAGTTCTGGCTTCTGCATGTTCCAGCCCCGTCCCACCAAGCAGGACGTGTGCTGTGCTGTGATGCTGCCAGCCACCCAGTGCTCTGGTTTTGCTTCTGGAGTGCACAACACAAGAAATACGAGTCCCAGCTGCCTACAGACCTCACTGATGCTTTATCTGCTCGCTTGCCTCTGGCCTCTGTTGCTTCCCGAGTACACATCCACAGCCCATAAAGCAGCACGAGCTACAGACCACATGAAGATGCTTGCCCTTTCCTGCCCAGCCCTAGGCAGATCAAGCTGGCCACCCTGGGACACCATCCGTAAGCTTCACTGAGCCTGCCAAATAGGTGCCCACTGCTATCAGCACCTGATAAAGTAGACCAAAGCCTTTTACTAGGCTGGGAGAGTAAACAGGCTACCCCAAGTGTCGCAGTACCCATGCTGCCTTCCCCAGGAGGTAACATCTGCCTTCCCCACAACCACAGTCATGCTCCTGTCCCCTGTAGCTCTACCAGCAGGTAGAGCAGGTGGCCTCTGCAGAACAACAGGGAGCTGGCTCTGCACTGAAACCCCAAATGTTCCTCGCTGTTGGTGAACAGGGAGTGACCCTAGATACCACGGCAGCATTGGGAAAGCCATGTCTCTGGGTACCCTAGGAACTGGATTTGCCAAACATGCAGGAATGTGGACACCACAGAGCAGCTGAACTAGAGAGGCAGGGTATCAACACTTTCATCGCCAACATTAATTTTAAAAAGTTTCATGAAAACAACTCTCTTCAGCAGTCTACATCTTGCCTAGCTATGTAATATATTTTGATGATGGACAATAATATTTTTTCTGCTTAACAATCTTTCCCCAATAGTCTTATTTTTTCTGTGCAAAGACCTTAATTAGGCCCGTGAACTCAAGAGAACTAGCCTGCTGCTTTTGTGTTTTTGCAAGTAGACTAGAAAAAAAAAAGCAGCAACAGCAAACACATCATGTATACAGTGCACACTAATAGCGGTGGCCAACATCAACTCATTAAGGCCAATCTTGCAGGTTAGCAGAGAGAATTTTGCTGCCCTACAGAAAGAAGGCTGTAGATACAGGATTATTAGATGCTTTCCAGCACAGAAAGCCAGGCTGTACTTAATGACTGGCTAACAAGAAGTGGTGAGGAGTTGGAATTCCTCCCCTCCCCTGCTTCTATACCACTGGCACAATGTACCTGCATAATGTTCTGATAAAGAAGATAGCCCAAACTTCCCAGGTAGGAACTGCTGATGGTTATCAATGTCGGGCAGCAATGGGAGTGGGGGAGGCTGCTGTGGCACACAGTTGTGCCAGGAGAACCGGTGATCTCATGCCAGAAAAATGCCATAGCATGGGCTCCTTCCCTTAGGCCCAGTTAATTAATCTGAACACAAAAGCTTACAAAGTAATGCAAATTTATTTCTGTAACTCCAAATGGGCTGCAAAAGGCTGAGACCCTTCTTTTTTTGGCTTCCGTCTCTGCCTGGAGGAAAAGGCTCACATTCCTTCCTTGAGGGCCCTCTGAAAAGCAACATGAACCAAGCAGCTTCTTACTGCTGCTGGATATTGCATCCTCTTTGCTTACGTTCCTCTCTTCCAGCAATCTATCACATTCAGAAGTAGAAAATGTTCACACCAAGAGTTATGGTGGCTTCAGTGAGCCTTGTGTGCCTACAACTGCTGGTAAAAGCTTCTCTAGCTCCTAGCTGTAAGTTTTGGTGAGTTTGGACATTATTTATTTGAAAAGAAGTCATGGCTAAAATGTCAGATGCCATGGACTGACGGAGTCCTAAACCTGCAACAAACTTTGTATCAGGCCCTCCTAATCTCTGCAAACTTTACAGACTGCAGAAGCTTATCCCAGACCATATAAGTAAAACTATACATTCACTAATGACTTACAATTGATTGGGAAGTTACATTCACGTATATTTCCAGGGAAACAAACAAATCCTGACAGCTACAATTAAATGACACAAACCACTGTCTGAAGGACAGCAAAGAGAGTACAAAATATGACATTTTTACTTCCTTCCAAAAAATTGCAAAAAAACCCCCACAAACCTCCTTCTGAAAAAAACCCTCACTTTTTTATTGCAGAAAGAAGCCTTTTTACTGATGCAGCGTATTGCAACAAATGAGGCAGAGCACTGGTCGTTTACACTGATTCTAGCCTTGGTTGTGATTTTTCAGCACCTAAACAGAGGTGCTGCGAGGCTCACAGAGCCACGGACTACATCAGGTAAGTAGCCCTGTGCAAACCAAGGAATTCAGGCTGATGCACCCTCCACTTGGTGATTTTACAGGAGACCTGCTATGCAGGTTTTTTTCCACTTGATACTAGGGCCGTAGGGGAAAGAGAAAACCTTAAAAGCCCAATCTAAATTCAGCTGCAGGAGGTAGCTTTTAATTGCACTTTGGATCAATAGAGAAGCAATCTAACACTCGTCTTGGTTACTAGGCAAGGGTTTGTACTTTTCCAGACAATTTTCCCCTGCTTCTCATATGTTCCCTTTTCCTACTTTGCTCACACAATCTGGATTCTCCACAATTTAAGTGCAGAAGAAAGCATTCATATCACTAGAGAACATATGGAATCATATACGTGCCACAGATAGTACTTTACCAGCAGGAATAGCACATTCAGTAAGTAGTTCCAACATTTAAGCAGTTTAACGTACTACAAATGTGTTAAAAATAGCAGTCTCAAATCCTCATATAGCATGTACCAAAGCGATACGTGTACACAAGTACTTAAAGGGTGTCAAATAGCATTTTATTTCATATCCCAGCTGTATAAAACTAAAAGCAGGCCAAAAGGTAGACAGGCGTTAATAAAGCTCCATCCAGAATTCTCCTTCTATCAAGAGAAATGTGTTATTGTAGCCCTCTTGTGTTCAGTTGCATTAACAGCTTAAATCCATACTGTCCTTCCTTACAACCCCTTAAATGAAGGCTCTGCATGCTTTCAGCACACCGCCATTCAGTTCTTGGCCCTCTCCACCTTCCCTCAGTTTCCTTTGTGTTTTTCCTCTTTCCCTCCTGGTTGTAAAATCTAAGCATAATCAGACCGTGCTCTGAAGCAGCAGAGTGCTCAGCTGGTGTATTCACACCATAAAACAGGAGAACTGCTGTTTTGGAGTAGGATGACTACAACATCCCTCATTGCCTGTAAGCACGCTTATATTCCCAGCATTTCTCCTCCATAAAAGGACTGTAATGAACACAATTTGCAGCCTTACTTCCCTCTTTTAGATAATGCCTAGGAGATATAGTTTTAAATTGAGTGTCCCGAAAGACAGCATTTAGACACATGCAACATTTTTCTACCCTTACAGAAATGACTCTGACATTGTCCAAAACCTGTAGGTATTATTGACGTCCTGTTGATCCCAGACCTTCCCTACCAGTCACCAAGATTAAAACCTCTGGTGTCCACCACTTAGCTGAGACACCACAGTCAGGGTTATAAGAGGTAGTAGCTTTTACAGTACTCTTTTCAAACCTGCAAAGGCTGCGGCAAACAGAAGAGTGAGTTATGGCTGCATTGCTATGGGTGCTAAATGGGATGGAGTCTTCTAACTCAGGATGAAGTAACAGGTTATTTCCTAAAAGAGACTCACCTTCCACATCTGCTGCCTTGGTCATCTTCTTTTCAGCCACTGCAAGACCCGCTCACTCTTAGAGATGAGGAGGCTCAGGCAAGCAGGTCAGCTGTGCTTCAGGAGCTGCCATCACCTGTCTCACGGAGCTGAACTCCAACATGGACACGCTGTTGCAGAGGAAACCTGGAGAAGGAGCCATAAACTAAGAGAGAAAGAAGGAGAAACAAATGAGAACAGAGAGAAGACAAAGGACAGTACTAGAACAGAAAAACAGCTTTGGCTTAGCAGTAACAACATCAAGGAATATTAGCAAGCAGTGCCCACTCATGAGCAGCAGCACAGGGGTGCACTTCAGCTCATTAAAACTTAAGAGTTTTGACAGATACATGCATATGTAGTGTGTAAGGCATATAGATTTTGAGAGCAGCTGAAACCATAAGGAAAACAGGCTTCAGAAATAAAAATTAGTATAGACAGTGAGAGTCATGGTACCTTCTTTGTTTGAAAGACAGCTACAGTAGCAAAGCTAGGAGCAAGTTAAACCCTATTCCGTGTCTTTCCCTATAAACGAGGTAGAGGGGAGAAAAGCATGCCCCTCCATAACATTTGTTACTGCAAGCCAGTTTGCTGAAGAACAGGGTAAACGTAAAGCATTTCAGAGGAAAAATGTATAAAAGCACGGATGGGAAATCCTACAGCCAACCGGTACTTCTACATAAATTTATCTTGGTTTTGAGCTGGATAAATGCTAACAGATACCTAAGCCTCTGGGTGTCTCACAGAAAGCATGATTCATAGCACACCAGGGCCTGTGCAAACAAAATTGACAAGACTGACTTAGTAACTCAGTTATAATAGCGAGACGTAAGGCAACCCATGATACCTTTGTGACAAAAAGCAGTTTAGGAATAAATGCACCCAATATTCTGCAGACAAGCCAGTTAATCCCACACGAATTAGCGTAACGCATCAAGAGTAAGTCAAAGAATACAGTTCAACTCCTGTGTGAGCACAGGTTATACAGTTAAACTGGTAAGAGACCCTGGGTACACAAGTGAGTTGGCAGGCAATTGGGTACGGCTACTCTGAGCTGCCTGTGTGCTGGGGGGAAAAACGGCTCATGCTGTACAAGCAGAAAGCAAAGTTTCTGATGACCCCATTTATTTCAGTTTTTATTTGATAAAATATTTTCTATTTAATTTTTCTATTTCATTTCTATACAAGAAATTGTATAGATTTTATCACTGATTTTATTTTGATGCTTGCTTCCATTGCTGAAGTGATAAAACCAATTAAGCATTACTGTCTTTGAATCTGTTCAACTATTAGCTTTTACATATTAATAAAGCCCAGTAGACCACACACAGCTACCTAGAGACAGTTCCCTCGCTTTCTCCAAAGGGACAAAAACCTTTGTGGGATAATTTGGTAGCAGACACTTAAGACACCATTGAGAAGACTTGCTTTATACTCGTGAGAGAAGCAGAGAGAGCCTTAAATGGCCACATTGCAACTCACTGAAAGATGATGACAAAAAAAGTTTTTTTTAAATGTTAATCTGGCAGAAATTCATAATTTTCTGTAAAGATTGACCATGGTATTTCACTCTTAGCCAGGTCATTCAGAACTGAGGACTTCGTTTACAAAAAGCCTTAGATAGCTTTCCTTCTGAAGTATGTAGTAGCAAATCTGATCAACAGAAAAACCTGTCAGTTTCCTGCAGCTAGAACATTCTAGATCTCTCCAACGAGCAAAGTCAACACCACACCACAAAACTCATTGCTAAGACTTGCCACACAGCTTATGTGAAACTTAAATGAAGGTTGCAACATAAGGAATGTAAGAAGTGATCAACTACGGATTCTCATTCAGAAAACCAATACATGTATTATAGTGCTTTCACCACAAGGACACCACTTGCATTCTCAAACCTTTCCAAACTGAACTAATCTACGGTTTGTATGCCTTATTTAAAACATTCTATAACATGGTCTACACGATGTCTAAACAGGCTTTTCTGACTACAGGTCTGTAACAACATCCTTGTTTCCAGTCCTTATTTAAAACATTCTATAACATGGTCTATACGATGACTAAACAGGCTTTTCTGACCACAGGTCAGTAACAACATCCTCGTTTCCGGATTCTCATTCAGAAAACCAATACATGTATTATAGTGCTTTCACCACAAGGACACCACTTGCATTCTCAAACCTTTCCAAACTGAAATGAGCTACGGTTCGTATGCCTTATTTAAAACATTCTATAACATGGTCTATACGATGACTAAACAGGCTTTTCTGACCACAGGTCAGTAACAACATCCTCGTTTCCAGTTTTTGTTGGAAGTAGAAAGCAGGGTATTTTGCCTTGGGAAAGGTGAGAAGTTTAAGCTGATTAAAATGAGATGCATCTTGTTAAAAATAAATAAATAAAATTACAGTATTATATACCACATAGGCTCCCTCAGCCACCCTTCAGAGATGGGAAGAGTTTGTGAAACCATTTCAGATTCCTCCTATTGCTCCTGAATACATTGGGGAGCAGTGAGCTACACCATGTTAACAGGTCAACATTCAGGCACTCCAGGTGTTGACAAGCCAGGCAGTGCTGCATTTGAGCCCGTGAAGGCTGTGAGTAACGTGAGGGATAAGGATGTTGTGCGGTCACAGAACGGATCATCCAAATAGACTAAGTGAATATCAAGAAATATTTTATTGTACATGTAATCAAAGTTTAAAAAACAGACAAGAAGGAGCAAGGGACAGATTTATCTAGCATCTCTTAACTATGCAGGGTACAGAAATACAGTAATAGTAAAGAATTAGCACATATTAGTGCCCTTTTGCTCCCCTTCCCTGCCCCAATGGAGGAGGTTATACAAGCGAGAGTAGTAATGCTTCAAATCAAGCCTTCTCAGTAATTGCACACTTGAGCTGACATTGTTGAAGTATGTTCAATTTCATGAGAGTATGTGCCTTCAAAAATAGTTGTTTATAAACAAAAACACTATCTCTTTAGTTGTTTATAAGCATTACTCATTCAACACCGAGAGTATACTTAAATGACTAATGATTTAGCAGCCGTAACTGTCTTGTTATATCTGAACTGACACTACCTTTAAGTATATCAATTATAGAAAATAGATTCCTTAGGTTTAACAATATGTAGTAGAGAATATATTATTTAGTGGCAAAACCATAATGAAAGATAGGTGGCTGTCAAGAAGCAGAGGAAGTATTCACAGGGAAGGGGGGGAGCTGCATGCTGAGCAGGGGGCACGTTGACTAATCAGAACTAAAAAAGCTGAAGCTCAGGAGTGCTAGCTGCAAAGTATCACTGGTGTAAGTTTCAGAACGTCTGGTTTGAAAAAGATGCTATTCATCCCACATCTGCATCAATCTCCCAGCTTAACTCATGACCCTAGATCCTCCTTAGCACAGCACAGCAGGATCTTAAACAGTTCTAGCAATGTAACTCATGTTCTGCCTTACACGCTGCGAGGAAGAAGGCTGCCATTCTCTTCCAGAGCCAGATAGGAAGAAGGCTGAAGGTAAATGCAGAGCGTTACCAGAGCTTATTCACCCCTTCAACCACTCAGTTTCCTTCTGGTTTACAAGGGTGACAGCCTTCAGAGCAGAAAGCTGCAACTTTTTTCCAGTACAAGGAGATTTTCTCTCAATAGCTTACTTAGCTTTTACTTACTCAAAAAAGTTAAGCTATACAGCACGCAGCAAGGGATGAATCAAATCAGTGTGACTAGTGCTAAATCCCAAATTGAAGGTAAGAGAAGTTTTGGGATTCCCACAATTCTTCAGTGGCCCAAGAAGCCTAGCAAATGAAAAGACTCTTCACAAAACTTCCAGAGAAAGCCCACAGAAAGGTAGACAAAGCCAGACTCAAAATAACAGTAACTAATACGCTCTGGATTCTAATGCCCTTTGGAAACGATCAGCTTTTTGGCTTAAAATGCAAGTGAATCATGACGTATTAACGATACCATGATTTGCATCTATTTCAGCCACAGCATGGTCCGATGCAGATTATTAGTGTCAAGTTACACACCCAGGACTTGAATTCACTAACACTCATAGCACCACTTGATTGTTGCTGTAAAGAAAGACAGTCTAACCCTTCAGTCCTCTGCCACAAAGAGCCTATTACTTTTGAGAGTTGTGCAACACCATCTATTCTGGGCCAGCTGACCTACCCACATTTTTTGTCCTCATGCGTATGCATCTGTTTTCAGAAAAAACTAAATAGCTCCAAGCTTAAATTCTGTGTACATATTACCTTGGCTTTCAAAGTTTCAAAATAAGTTCTCCCATAGTGTTCAAATGTAGGAAATTCACACAACTGACAGACCAATTTATTGACAATCTCTCACTAGTTATTTCCTGTACGTGCCAACTGCACAGCCATAAAAGCCTCCCAGCATTTCTTCGTACTTCTCAACTTTGAAACAGGAAAAGATCGATACAGATACATCAGGATTAACAGACTTGGGTGCAGGAAAAAAAAACAGCTCTTCTGTACCTCAGTAATTATTGCTGGGTATTTATCTGCTTTAAGCAACACCAAGGCAGTATTTGAATTTATGCTGCACTTAGACAGGTTCCCTACCATTAAAGAAACATCAGCCTTTCCACAGGAAAAAGTCTCTAAAATTTAGCTGGCCGTTTTTTCTTAGCCATTACATTTAACAAGGCAGATTTGCTTAGCTTTCCATTCTAACAGCATTATAGAGTTGTCAAAGAACATCGCTCATACCTACAACCTGCCTTTAGAGTAGAGTAGCTGGGCTGCACATTTTCATAACTACAGAACTTTATTAGCTATGCTAAAACACTACTTAAAGAGCCTAGAATTGTTCGAAGACTCACCAGCTACCTAAACAGAACAGTTGTCCCACAAAAGTGACTTCACAGTTCTCTTACTATCTCATCTGAAAGAAGCTACCTGCCACTTTGAAGTATCTCCTCCTTCCATAGGAATAACCAACATACCTTTTGGAGGCAGTTTAGACAGTGACTGCTCAAAAGTATTTCTACAGAACTGCTTTTTGGAAGAGAAAATAAGTTATTTTACTATTTGCACAAATTGAATTTACTACACTCATTTTACTCTGATAATGTTTTAGCTACAAGGTATCTGTACAAGATATATCAGCAGAGATAGCATATTGTTAACACTACATATGTAAACCGAGAAACAACAGGTCCTTCCACCACGGTGTCACGTTGCCAGTAAGCCATTTTACGTTAGTCCAAGAGGCTGCCAAACTGCACTTCTGCACCAGGGAGATTCCTGATGAGCCCAACAGAAAAGCCGTAAGGTGACTGTCCATCCTGGAACAGCAGCAGGAGAAGAATCAAGCAACCAGTGTTTGCGGTAATATTCTTAGAAGGATTCCATTCATTCGGTGCATATTGCTGTACATAAGGTGCATAAACCTGGCAGGTACGAGATCAGCACGAAGAGAAACCGGTTGCGAGGCTGCAACCAACTACTGGTGTCATGTCCCAGATCTGAAAGGAAATATTGTGGAGAGTAACACAGCATTATTATAAGCCCTAAGAGGAATTTCTGTAAGAGGCAAACATAAAGACTTCACTGGACACAAGGTAACAAAACCTGCTTAAACTATACTTGAGAAAACTGTCATAAACAGTTATACCAGCCTAACAAACCAGAAGCCAAACTCAGGGCTTAAGAGAGTCTTCTAACAGTTCTTTGTAGGTCTGTTTTTAAAAGTGCTTCACAGTTTGTTATAAACATGCTTATAGAAAAACAGGGACACACTGGAACAGTCTCAGTTCTGACATGCATGGAGGATGTACAGCATCCTTAAGCACAGCAAGATCCTACATCAGTCCGATTCACAGGACAAGGGGTAACGGTTTTAAATTGGAAGAGGGGAGATTTAGATTAGATACTAGAAAGAAATTCTTTCCTGTGAGGGTGGTGAGGCACAGGAACAAGCTGTCCAGAGAAGCTGTGGTTGCCACATCCCTGGAGGTGTTCAAGGCCAGGCTGGATGGGGCTTTGAGCAACCTGGTCTGGTGGGAGGTGTCCCTGCCCAGGGCAGGGGGGTTGGAACTAGATGACCTTTAAGGTCCCTTCCAACCCAAACCATTCTATGATTCTATGATTTCTATGATTCACTGTTATAACCAGGGCTTTTAGTGTCTCCAAGAAGCCAGGGAGCTCAGAGTGAAGGAAGCCTGCACATTTCATCATGTCTGTCTTTAAGGTGGACTCTCCTACTGCTGGTGCCTGCTTTGTTTGTCCAGAGGACACCAACAATAACCAGTTCTGACAGCAAGACTCCACACAGAGGAGTTACAGGTCACTTCCTCATTCAGCTGCAGGAAGAACAGTCTGCAACAAATATAATTCTTACTGCCCACAACAGTTAGCTTTGCAGCAACAGTTGTCAGAAAGAAAAAAGTATATACAAACATTAGTTCTTCATTAAATATCTGTCATAAATGCAGGAAAACAGGTACATTAATACCTTCACAATCCGGTCGCTCCCACAAGTCACCATTAGCCCCCTGGAGATGTCCATGGACATATGTGAAATGTTGTGTTTTCCTTCATGAAAGGTTGCCAGGGAAGTACGGCTGCAAGAGAACAATTCAAATGAAGCCAGCCATCAGATGAAGCTCAATAGCATCATTATACCAGCGCAAAATAAACTTACAAGAAAATTGAGTTGACTAAGTACTAATAAATCAGTCCGGAGAACTACAATGCCATATTAAAGGGGACAGAATTAAATTAGCAAGTCATGCTAAGGCATTGCTTGTGTAGTTATACAGGTGTGACATTTCCTGGCCTCCTGCAGCCTGACTGTTAATAATACTAGAGCAGAAGAGGGACAATGCATTAGTAAATAATTCTGCTCTTGGTTATAGAGTGAAGCTCAGCTATAATTTTTCCTGCTGCCTATAGTGAGTAAACTGGGGCACAGCACCTCCCTTTTTCAAAAAAAAACCAACCACATAAACAAAAAGACACCAACAAAAAACCCAAACTACAGCAACAACACACCACCACCAAAACTGACATCTGATTACTTTGGTCATTTGTCACTCCAAGTGTGAAAGGTGAAAGGACAGTGAACAGTGAAGTGTTCATATCAAGATAAAAAGGAGGTTCAATTCATTGCTAAGAGTAGTTTAATGAGACAGCAAATGATGCTTAACCCAATTTGCTTGCATGGGGAAAATAATGTTGGGCTGTGAAGAATATTCCCATAGGAAGAGTTTTCAGTAAGTGTATATGAACTAATGCATATACATCCTGGTAGCTCTGATGTCATTGTCAGGCACCCATTTAGCAATTTTAAGTGCAATCAATAGCCTTTACCTGAACTAATATCTTGAGACAAATAAGTTTCAATTCTAGATCTGGGCTCATGGAAAAGAAGAAATAAAGATCTAAATCAGCTTGCAGAGCCAGCTGAGGGATCTCTGCCATCATAGTGATTTGAGTGCCCAAAGCAAAGGTAGCCTTTTAGCAGAGGGTCAGCTTGGCATGTTTGTGTAGCACTGTGTGTGGATGTAGAGCAAGCACAAGTGTTTCTGCACCTCAGCAGTATTAATTTAATCTATTACTCCTTAATACTCACTCTTCATCCTTGATTGACTCAAAACAGGAATCACAGACACGGACCTGGAACTCAAATCCCATGATTGGGTAACTTGACCGTTTGGTACTGCACTTGCCACATACTGCTTGCCCACATTTCCTGCAGTGATGCTTCATGGAGGAAAAAGCAAACAGACAAATCACCATGTTGTGCCACTTGACCACCTTATCAAGTGTTCACTGAGCAACAACAACAAAGTTTCTGTTTTGCAATCTATTAGGAAGCAATCTGTTACGAAGTTTTCTGTTACTTCAAGCAACTCTGGAGTTCTCAACAGTCTTGTTGTCCATTAACAGGTTTACCTCCATATTCTCCCTGTCCATCCTCTTCTCTTGCTTTTTCTGGGAGCAGTGGCAAAAAAGGGCTGAACAAGCAACCAAGGAAATAACAGTCTAAGAAAGCCAGAAACAGGTGAGTGTCTTTATGCCTATCAGTCCCTCCAACAAGAGAGCTGTCTGGAAAGTTTTCACATTCTGAACTGAGTACCTTACAGCATGTTAGGCTACAGTTTGCTCACTTATGGTGCACTGTGGGCCACTTCACACAACACTTGAGGACTAGCTGTCCACAGCTTCAGTGTATAGAAATTTTCAGAGAAATCTGACAGAGCAGCACAGCCTGCTTTGCCCTGCAATAGAAGTTTGGTGTAACACTTCCCATAGAATTTGGAAATTTCTTACCACTGCCTAGAAGCTGTGACCTCTCAATAAACCCTCACATCAAAGCAGCAAAAAATACCAACAGTTTAGAAGAACTAACAGCTTTAGTGGTTTTCTGTTTGCATTTGGCTTAAGTACTGAAGCTAAGCACTCAAACCAGTGATCTCACCTGTCTCAACCCCAAGGTCTTTGTGTCCCACATTTGCTTTATATTCCAGAAGAAAGGTTGTTCACACTTCTGACAAGAATCACTTTCTAGCCATTGAGGAGCCTACAAAAGAGCAAGAGATGCAAACAATCAGAATTATTTTTCCTCATACAACAGCCAAGGAAGTTTGTTTTAAAAGCCCAAGGTAAAGTTTCACTTGGAAAGATGCCCTGTCTCAGCTCGAGACAGCAACAATAGATTGCCTACGGTATAGTACACAGGAAGCTTAGTGCAAAAAATCCCCAAACCCAAGGCTACAGTTATTTGTTATCTAAACACCTCCTATACTTTTTAGGCCCACGGCAGTATGTTATGTTACAGTCTTATTAAGAAAACTGATTCAATATTTAAGTAATTAAACTTGCTGCAGGCATTCAACGACTGCTGCTCTGGTTGCCCAGATGATTTTTAAAGGCTGGTGTAATCCAAGTTGTAGAAGATATGAGACAGTCATCACCTCTAAGAGGGGAGATCCAGAAGTAAATTCTGAAGTAAGTTTCTTTTCTGCTTCCCTAGGATTACAGTCTGAAATAATTAAGAACTCATCTGCATTTTCCATCCTGCCCACATCTTCATTATGCATCCCTTCTCCCACCCACATATTTTTCCTGCCATAAATGGACTCGGCCAAATGAAAATAGCTGGAGCTTTCGCACATTTCAGCACTCTCAGATACTTCAGCTGAGCAGCCTTGTAGGAGACAGAAAGAGGCACAATATTTTTCATACATAGACTTGAATTAGAACATATGTATTCTACACAACTTTACACATCTGATGGGGGAGTCTCCCTGAAACCCAAGAGGAAGAAAGCTGGAACAACAAAGAAGCTTTTCTTCTCAATTCATTTACATCCATTGTTGATAGTAATAAAACAATAGTATTGTCAGTTACACCACTGTCTCCCCATGAATATTTATTAATATCAGATGTCCAGTTCCTACATCTTCAGCCTTGATTATATCCCCTTCCTTCTCCCATACCAGTGGAAAATATTGTAAAGGGCAGTAACGAGTCCAGCATGGTGGGCAGGGAGGAGAGCAGAGGTAATGAGCTGGTGACAGCTCAACACGTCAGAAAAACAGTTCTCACCCATGACACTTGCAGTTAAGGAAAAGCAACAGGGTAAGGAAGGCTGAGCCTTAAATACTGCTTTATGAGAGCAACCAAAAATAACTCATCTTTAATGAAAGATAGTAGTAATATACATCTTTTCAGCTCCTAGGATGGATATGAACTGAAGCAGAAAGAACGTGCGTGGCAGGCTCGGTTGCTGTGTACTGAAGCTCTTTAAAAACAAAATATTATCTGGGGACTGAATCTCTACACTCTGAACTACATCTCAAAAACAGCGTCTCACTTCTTTTCCTGCTTTGACATGAATTACGAACTTACTTCAAGACTGTTGCAGCACAGTCCATCAGTTCCTACTGCAACTCACCTATAATGCCTGCTTAAAGCATTCCAGCAGCAAGGGCTGTAGCCATTCCAGTGAACATGTCTCATTGACAAATGACTCTAAACAGTCCCAAACCTGCCCTGCACTTCTCCTGTCCTGGGAACCCATCCATTACAATGCAGTATGGACAGCCACTAGGAGGTTTTAATAATATCACTCAGCCTTAAAGTTTCAGGCAATATGAGGAGAACAGCCTGCAGAACTAAGCAAAGCTACGTCAGCCTCTAAAAGTGGAAAACGAATCTTAAAAATAATAAAAATCCTTGACCTAGGACATGACCTTACCTCTTCTCGGTTGATATCCATGTTCCAAACAGCAATTCCTCCATCAGCTGAACAAGATACCAGCTGCCGTGTCAGCTGGATGTAACAGATAGCCTGCACCTTGTCACTGCAAATAAAGTAGACACTATTTACCCATAGGTATTTAAACAAAGCTTAGTTTCCCCACCAAACTTCAGTTTATCCTTGTAAAGCTACACAGGAAGCCAAAACCAATTTCCAAACACTTTGCTGGGTCTACTAAGTGGAGCTATGAAGATGAGAGAACAGATGCTGTCACCTAAGCACTACCCTAGCATCAGAGTGTTGTGTAGAACAGTGTTCTTACAGGCTCAACCAGAGGTACAGTTCCATGTTAACACTTGCTGGCAGTAAGCACCGACATTGAGCTGAGTGTCAACTGCCTCAGAGTGTGCGTGCAAATACTGTTCTGTGTTGGCAAAGAAAGCCAGTTATCAAAACAGAGACAACTGGAAAAATAAAGATAAATACTTGTTTCAGGATATAGCTAGGAAGTAGCTGGAGCTGTTTGCTAACAAATCACAGTCAGTAAGTGTGTAGCTGCAAAGCAGGACATGCATTCACTAGTAAGACAGTTAAATCCTAAATAAAGTCATGGCAAAACAAGTCTACCCTAAAAAAACCAAACAAAGGATCTCAACAGTATTAGACTGCTTTGCAACATCTAAGTTGAATTAAAAAAGCCATTCTGCTTCTCAGAAGAACTTACTTTCCCATTCAGTATGAAGTTTGATGCTAAGTGTGATGTTTGAAGAGAAACTAACAGTGTTATAGGTCTTCACCAGGACACATGATGCAGCAGTAACAGCAGTATAAAGTCCTCCAGTCACTGACTTCAGTTACTTTTTTGTAACCAGTACTCTATTATTAGTTCTTTAGCCATAAAACTAAATCCTCAAGATTTAACAAGAGTTCTAGGGCTAAGGCTATCAGTCTTGATCAAAGGTGGATGGAGGCATCTACGGAATTAGACAAGAGGAGAATGCACTATACAAATACATCTTTAAACATAAACAAGATCTCTACTACCACTGCATTTCTAAGTAGAACATATCTTTAGGTGAACTGACAGGTGAGCTGCCTGTCAGACTAAATTAAAGCCCTAGATTTAAAAATGGCAGCTAGTGTGATGTGTCTGTAAAAATAAAGAATTGATTAAATACAGGCAACTACCTACCTAATCCACAGATGTGGGATGTGACATGCTTTTCTTAAGTCTAGAGACCCACCCCTGTCATTTAGCCATTCAGTTTATCACCTCACTGATAGAGAACAGGAACATATTGAAACTTATTCTACATGGGCAAACAAACATGCTTATACATTAAGTTTCTAGCCCCACCCTCACAGGCAACTCAGTGAGGTATTTACAATACAAAAACATGCAACTTTTACATCAAGTTCAAGCAAGATTATTTCGGATTTTTACCCACCTCTTTCTATAACCTACTTTTATGTTATGTTCTCATTACCCATGGTTTAGAAGTATCAAACACAAGCAAAAAAAAGATTTATCAGTAAGGCTCTCCTAGTACTGATTATCCTTCTTCCCGCTCAAAGTCTTCAGAGTTCTGCAAAATGTTATTTTCTCCATTATTCACAAGGACTCAAATACCTTCCCATGCTATTTAGTCTTCCTGGGATTCTGTGTTCATTACAGACCATGTAGGAAAAATAAGACACCGTTACATACTGATGTCCCTGGAGCAGCAGTGTTCGCCCCTTCCTTCCACCAATATCCCACATGATAATGCTGTGATCAGAGGCACCTGAGAAGAGCAGTCGTTGAACAGGATCCCACCACAGGGAAGTAATACCTCCTAGGAAAGAACATTCTGCAGTTAGATCTAAGGGAGCCACTCCCCAGCATAATGATGCTCTTCTGGGCTATTAAAGTGAAACCTAAGGTATTCCCTTACTACAGTAATAGATAGCGAAAGGACAGCATGCAGCAGCAAGATACAGTCCTGCAGCCCAAATCAGGCTACTCCAGCTCTCTGGAGCAAGAGATTTTTCTTGCCTCCTTTAGGGCTAAGCTGTTTTCAGACTGACCCATTTGGGAACAGTTGTCTCTGAGAGAACAGTGACCATCTGCATTATAAAAGGCAGTTTGAGTATGAGCTCAGCATCGCACAGAGTAAGCTGTTAAGTGAGGAGAATTCTGGAAGTCAACTTTTGAAGGACAAGTTCTAGAACCATTTAAACTGCAAAGCAAAGCTTGCTGGCTTATGAAGTCACAGTTCGGCAAGAGCTAGAAAGGAAACAAGTTGAACTCAGACTTTTGAAGCCTGGCAAACACAGCTGCACTCAGAGAAGAACTAGATGGCATTCAAGTTTAGAGTTACCAGGCCTCGAGAATATTACACAAATACTGTGGAGGAAAAAAGGTTACACATAATCTGTTTTGCTTTAAAAAAAAAAAAAGAAAGAAAAAAGATGAAGGAGCTACTATTACATCAATTGAAGAAAAACCTGTTTCTGGCCGTCAGATTTAATCAGCTTCTACACTAGATCAATTCTTGTTTTGAGGATCATAACCCCTTAGGGAACTTATATACGAGGCAAGGCTGTCTGCTATGCATACAGCACTGCTGAAGCTGGTGCTTGGAAGCCCACTGCAACTCAATAGACAGAATACACGTTATATCTAGTGCCATGTCGAGACCTACTGATTGCAGACTAACAAAATATATATGAAGGAGCTGCATTTTAACACAGACTAGTGCAAAAGCATACAGACGTAAAGGGGTTTCTAGGGCCAGGAGAATTATTTTGCTCTTAACCGAAACAATCTGAAATTCTGCTTGAAAGCAGAAGAGGCATTTATCATTTGAAAATCCCAACTTGCTCCCCTCGTTCAAAGCCAGCTTTATCATTTTGCAGTCATCTGTAAATCAGGAGTCTACCCAGCTTTAACAAAGTCTACTCTATACTTACAGCTATTAAACAAAGCAGCCTTTTCCAGTGGGTCAGAGACTTATGACCCAGCAATTCACCCCTACTCAAACTAGTCAGCTGATTTGAAAGTTGCCAGTACCACATGGGAATAGGCAGCAAGTCTTGCTTATTTCTCTCAAGACATTATTAAATTACATATTCTTCTGTGATTTGCATTCTTGCCATATTCATCACAGCAGACAGCGGCTCCATATCATGTTACAGACTATTTGGTTCTTCATCTGCTGTAAGCTATACTACACAAGATGAGACATTTGTCTTTGACTAGACAGTTTCGATTCTCAAAAACTCTGGTAATTTCTTCCATATAGCTTAGTTTCAGCTAAACACAGGACACTGGATTCTCATACAGACTGATCAGAACATCAGAGTCAGCATTGGGGAGAATTAAGTGGCTTTTTAGAATACAGACTGGGGCTGCTAAAGCTGCTTTAGGTATTTTTATAATACTACAAGGTCTCCAGAAGGTGGGGGGGAAAGGAACACATTCTCATCTTTTCTTTTTAACGTTAAGGAGGCTAAAGTTTTTAAAGGTGGCCATCTAGTGGATAATGTGTTTAACTGAACACGTTTACCTTATTTTTCATCTATAATAAGAATACCTGTCAGTATTTGTGAGGCCAAGATTTCCCCTTAGCAAGAACGTGTCTGTTCTTTAAGAGACAGCCATATGTACAGCTTTGAACAGCTTTTGATAACTACTACCCTGCACCAGTTGTTTATCCAATATCTATCCTTAAGAGGTAGATATCCAACTGAATGTCTCATCCCTATTTACAAAAGGATACTATAATCTGTGTCAAATGGAATTTAGAGGAAGCGTTACTTTACCTTCATGCCCTTTGAGTGCTGTGATAACGGAGCATGTATTCTGCTCAAGCTTCAGGAGAGTGATCTGTCCAGAATAATCACCAACAAATGCATGCTGAGTTTCATAATCATATCTGAACACAAGTCAAGGAGAAGCCTCGTTTGTTCTTTAAGACTGAAAGAGATAGCACAGCTGTCAGTTACAGAGTCTAAATAAATTGGAAAAGAACATTTTAATATGCCAGATAAATATTTACATAACTACTTCTAAAGGGGCTGGAGACTGTAATAGTTAAACTGTTTTTATTCCTCTCTTCTCACTCTTCCCTACATGTGCAAGTAAGACAGTATGGAAAACAAGTGAGAAACATTTCAGAAAGCCACTGGAGAAGCCACAAGATAATCCATCTCCTAGTTTAAGGCAAGCCAAGTAGATTTAGACCGTTTCTAGCAGATGTTTACAGAACACATTCATGATCTTCTAAAAGAGATGCCAGAACTCTTCAGGCTACTTGTTGCAGTGCAGAGCTACCATTAGGAACACCTCACTGGACACTGGGTGGCATCCAGTCTTACCTAGTGTCTGCTCCTACAAACTCTTAAGTTTTCCAGCATGTTATACTAGCTGATGCCCCCAGGATAAGAAAACTAAGATAAAAGGATGTTGGCCCTCCACAGCTAGTTTAGTTTACAGTGGAAGTAAACTCCCAGTGTTCTAGCTACTGAGAAGGTGAGACCATCTAATTTCTTGTTCTGTTCTCTGCACTTCCAAGTTTTCTGATGCAGATCCTTCATCACTGTATCAAAGACTGAACAGTATTTCAGAAAGAGTTCTATCATTTAACACTGGTATAAAAGCCACACCACATCCTAACATGGGACCCACTAACAAGGTGGTGTGTTTGGTAAAATCATTATACATCATAACAATTTTCTGATATTCGGGTTTTGTCACCATATAACTACCGTAACCAGAAACTAACACATAGCAAGCTGGATAGGACTAGATCATCTGCCACCTTCAAAAGGCTTTTGCTATTCAGGATATAAGCAAGAGCTATGAAAAAGCCCATGCAGCTGATGCCACATAACCCAAGAGTTGTGTATCAATTCACCTGTCCTCCTGCAGCCACACAAAAACACAAGCAGCAGTGAACAGGATAGTCTATAATATGCAACACAAAAGATGAACTTTGAAAAGTCACTGTACCAAAAAGCCTACCACAAGTGAAAAAGAAGAGGCTTTGTCATCTGATGACATTCTGAAATCTCTTAAGCCTTCAGAATCCGTAGATAAACAATTTGCTTTCAACAAATCCACTAAGTCCCTGAACATGTGATCCTTTCTTCATCTTGGAAGTTCAGGCTAGCATTATCCCTTCTAATCCAGTAAAGAATAGGACTGCGCTGTGTTTTACGGAAACTTACGCATAGGATCATTAACAAATAAATCCTAAGGAACCTCCCGACGGGGAGACTGAGCACCTCGTACACACATCAGAAAGCTAGTTCTTCCAAACACAAGCCCAAAGGCAGGATCAATTACAATGAATTTTCAAATGCCATGGTCTTCAGTGGAAATTTATTTTTATCTTGATCGAAAAGGTCATACTCTTTTCTCTGTTTTCATGATAAATTGTTCCATTATTTGCAATAGCATTAGATATGGAACCCACTGAATTCAAATAGTGAGGCTCAGAGGCACCAGACTGTTCTGTGAGCTCATCTCCTAACACACACGCACACAGCCCCTCCAGTATTAACCCAGTTCTGTGCTGTACTCAGTTGAGGCGAGCTCTACAGGAAATGTTTTGGGGGACACAAAGCCTCTGAACCCTAAAACAAGGATAGCAAAAAAGAGCAACAGCACAACAATACAAACCTGTCAATAAGGCAGGGTCTGCACTGATGGGAGACCTCAGAAAGCTCAAGATGCTGCTGCCAACCAAGCAGTTATTTTTCCTCCTAGTTTCTTAGCACTACACTGGTATATAGCAGTTCTAGAGAGGGGCTTACTCTTTCCAAGAGATGCAGTTGACCTCTTTCAGCTTTTGAATCATGCCACTTCTACAACATACACCAACCAGTACCTCCAATTAGTGTCGGGTCACATCTAGCACCATTAACAAGTGCTAAAAAATAGTTTGAAAATTTAAAGGATTTTACTCAAGCTCGAAAGTTTTGACATATGAACTACATTGTAAGCTACTAGGTTTGTCTTTTACATAGGATGAAGAATGCCCTGAAGTACTTACAGCTGAATGGTAACTGGAGTGCTCAAGCTACAACTGCTGAAAGTTAAAGGCAATTTGCAGGAAAGCAAACTGCACAGAGACAAATTATTACTAGCAATGGATAAAGTTTCAGTGTACCCTGTAGTTTAAAGATAGAAAAGATTAATTTTTTTTCTGTTTTTGCTAGTGTTAAAGTAGTCTAACGGGTTTTCATGATGTTTTATGGTCTGGAACAACTCAAATGCACACTGGCATCTCTTGCACAAAGTAACTTGCCAAGAAAGTATACAGGCCAGGCTATAGATACAGTTACTAGTCACTTCCACAATACGCTACAAACATCTCAAAATTAGGAGCTAATAGACACTGCAATTTCTGTAACTCAAAGTCACAACATCCCCTTCTACTATCTAACCACAGCTAACAGAAATAAAGATATTAAACATTTAAACAGAATAAGGGTTTTCAGACTTGCAAGAGATTAGATTTCACTCTAGCTTTCTACATGAAAACAAGGGAACAAGTTGAGCTAAAGGAACAGAGTACTCCTCCAGTTGTAGGGTAGTAAACATTTTTCAAAGGATACTGTAGACATGAAGCCCAAGAGGTGAAGTAATGCCTCCCCAGCATGCTCCCGCTCCTGGTGCACATCCAGCTGACACACTTGTCATGCCCAGTGCTGATCACCCACTCTGACGCCAGGCAGAAGGTAATAGCAGACACTCGATTCTGATGAGCTGTGGAAAGAAAAAGATTCTGACTAGTTTTTCCCAATAATCAAAGTGATGTGTTCTAACATTCGAATTCAGAGAGACATAGGCTGAAGATGGTAACTAAGCAGTGCCCCAGGGAGATGTTTTTACCATAATATTATGCTTGCCTCTAGGCTGAATTAAAAGGTTAGCATTGTTCCATTTGGCATTTGCCTTCTGAATAGCTTAAGTGAACCAAACATGTGAGTCAGCTAATTTAAGGCTTTCTCCCACAGAGAGAGAAGCTGAGTTCACCCCAGATACCCAAGATTCTCTGATTAAGAAGCAGGCAAACCCTCAGCTTCCTCTCGTTAGGCCAAAACTTCTGGGGAGAATGTCACACATCTAAAAACCTTAATTGCTTTAAGTGCCTCTTTTCCTGACCCCAGGGGAGTTACGCTCAGATTGAGAAGAAGATCAGAGGGCTGGAGCGCCTCTTCTACGAGGACAGGCTGAGAGAGATGGGGTTGTCCAGCCTGGAGAAGAGAAGGCTCCAGGGAGACCTTATAGCAGCCTTCCAGTACCTAAAGGGGGCCTACAGGAAAGATGGGGAAGGACTTTTTATCAGGCAATGGAGCGATAGGATGCTTTTCAGTTTTAAACTGAAAGAAGGGAGACTTAGATTAGATATTAGGAAGAAATTCTTTACTGTGAGGGTGGTGAGACACTGGAACAGGCTGCCCAGAGAAGCTGTGGCTGCCCCATCCCTGGAGGTGTTCAAGGCCAGGCTGGATGGAGCTTTGAGCAACCTGGTCTGGTGGGAGGTGTCCCTGCCCATGACAGGGGGGTTGGAACTAGATGATATTTAAGGTCCCTTCTAACCCAAACCATTCTATGATTCATATTTTTAAGCACCAGGAAGCGTATCTAGTCCATGGAATTCAAACTGCTACCTGTGTCCACTCAGCTTTGTTTAGAATGCTGCCACTAAGCAGGAAGTTACATAAGCATTAGAGAGAAGTCCCTCCTGTCCCCAAAGATGCAAGTACTTCCCCTTGACTGAGTCGTAAAGTCATCTTTCTTAGGATCAAGGGGGGTTTTGTTGCTTTAAGAACAAGGTCTTTTTCTCCCAAGCAAGAACATTGCTTCTATCAGTGTCAGGGAGTCGTTAAGACAAACTGTACTTTCTTGCTACATAATCTGCAGTCTGTAGGAGCCTCCTTCAGCCCTTTCACATTAGTACTCCAATTTTAAGCAGCAATCAAGTTTTGTGTTTCTTTTAAAGATGTGCAGACAAATGCTGAAATTGGCATCTCCATAAATATTAGAACAATCCCTATTCCCCACATACCAGAAAAATAAAATTTTTTTCATCCCTATTACTCTCCTAAGATGACAGAGAAGGCCAGGACTCTTACCTTCAGCTAGAAGCAATGAAGCCCAGAGATTACAGAAAGTAAGGATGGAAATTGCAAATACCAAAATGCACCTTTAGAAAGCTCCTACCCTAACATTTGCACAGTATAACTACAACACTCAAAGAACAAAATCTGAACTCACTAGTTCTGGCTCATTACACTTGTCCCATAATGGTGTACTGAACTTAATGATAATGACTGCAGCTCAGACTCAACTGACTGAGGATTACTCAATAACAGAACATTTATCTTCTGTCAGTTATCCCCAACTAAGCGACAACTAGAAGGTCAGATTTAAAGCATATTTGGACTTAATTAATGTGTGACAATGTCCAGTTTCCCAACTATTTAGATGCCTCCCCTTCACAGAAATGTTACTGTAGACATTGGTTAACAGTTTACCTGGATAGGTCTTCACAAAATTCATCTTATTAAAGTCCTCTGAAATATGAAACTCCTAGAAGCAAAGTGGAAGCATTAGAAAACATACAGCAGTGATATAAGCAATATTGAAACTAAAAAAAAGAACAGTAACCACGAGCAAGAACCAGGCCAAAATTTGCATAGCACCAATATATCTTACTAAAAACTAGCAGTTTCTCAGGCTGGAGCATAGCACACTGACACACCAATTGCAAATTAAGGTTATTATTGAAGTACATTTTCAACAGAAGCATCCTTTCAGAATCAAGTTTGCTGATGGGAGATTATAGGGAGAGATAAGGTCTCATTTGTCTCCAGCAGGAACAAACAAAACCATATCTTGTAGAATTTAGGATTTAAGTATCTAAGACTTCATAATGGACTGATTTAAGTAAGAGTATTCTCTATTTGATCTACTAGGCTTATTGAAGTTTTAACAGTCTCAGCTTACAATTTCAAGTAGTTATCACTAGAACCACTATTCTATATAGTTCTGTGTAGGCTATTCACAGCAGTTATCAGTAGAATCACTATTTATAACATTCACGCAGTATCCTGGCTCCCTATAGGACAGTTATTATTTTGACCTTATTTTCATAGAGAAAGGAAACCATTAAAGCATCTGAGAGTCACAAGATTCTCCTCCTTTGCCAAGAAGAAGAGGGGAAGAATACAGACCCGCTTTCTTTTATGACATGTATTGGCTCTCCAGGAGAGGGAGAGCCATTACAGCAAGAGTACAGAAAGACAGAAGGAAGACTTCCCAGAAAGAAATGAAACCAATCCTGCCTCTTGTAATTTTAGAAATAGTGTTGAAATTCCCACATCATAAATGATCTGCAGGAAGAAAATCCAGAGACACATGCATAGCAAGATACAGGCAGATCCATACTTCTGGTCAGATGCAAACTAGCTGCAGTTCACAACCTCTGTTGCCACCACCATGGCACTCGGCCCAGATTCATGTATTCAAAAGAATTCCTTAACTGGCACTCGGCCCAGATTCATGTATTCAAAAAAATTCCTTAAAGTGTAACAGTTTGGGTCCACTGCTACACTAACGGCCCAGTGACTTCTTGAGGCTAGCTGGCTCACATCTAGCCAGAAGAACCCTTCTTTATTTGCAGTCCTCCCATGTACATCTCAGGTGAACTGCCAAGAAGCCATTTAGTAGTTGCATTCCAAAAAGGAAGGAAAGAAAACAAATCATCAGTTGCCAGCAACACCTGGTGCTCACAGACTATCTAAGCAATTCTAATCTGCACCCTGAAGAAAAATCACAGCAACTTACCATGATAGCTCCATTATCCTGGCCTACAAATATTCGTCTGCTGTCATGATGATATGCCATAGCTGAACATGGTGCTGTCAGAAAAAGCAAGCACATTACAGTTACTGAAATAGTGGTATTAAGATACACATGACTTATTATAATCAATTCTTTCACTCAGGATAGAATCTGTTTAAGAATAAGCAGCTGGATAGAAATTAGTCTACATAGATAATATCCCTTGGTAAGACAGTTGGATTCCCATATGTGAAGAAGAGGAAGGGTACACTACTAGAGTAAGTCAGATATACCATTAGGAACCATAAGCAAACATGATTTCCTGCCACAAGGTGCACCTCAAAGAGGTCCTTTGTTTGTACGATGTTTTATTTTGTCGTTGTATTCCCTCTTTCTAGATGTGGCATGGATCTAGGCAGCAACTCCACATTAAACAAGCTATAGCAAAGCACCCAGGCTGACTGAGGTTTCAAAATCATAAAAACCACACTGACACTCAAGATCTACTCAGCACTGAAGCTGCTACTCAGTATTGCTTTCTTAATAATCTAAATGCTAAAAGAAGGAAAAAAAAATATGCACACCTTGGAAAGCAGAGAATATTCTTCTGTCTGAGCTTTCAGCTAGTAGTTTGAAAAGCTCACTTATTCAGCAGACGAGTTATTTGCCAGCACTTGAGACATCTTCAGCTGCAGATCCACACAGTGATTGACCTGGTGTAGGATCTGGTTCTGACAGAATGAGCCTTAGATCTCACCCACTACTCAGCTATTTTCAAATTAAAGTCTGAGCTAGAGTTGCTCCAAAGCTCTCAGATTGAAGATCATTGAGTGGAAATGGGAAGGAGGTATTCCCCTACACAGCAGAGGTACAAAACCAACACTATGCTTGGCCATCACTTACCATCTCCAGCATTGTACTTACATGACATGGTGTGATAGATGCTGGGCCAGTATTGTCCACTGTCTCTTTTCAGCCATACTCGTATTGTTCTGTGACATGGGAAGAGCAGGGAGAAGACAGCCGTAAGTACATACATCATCCCATGCTTCTGAGTCAGTTCATTACTTATATGTCAGCTCCAACCCCTCTTAGCTTTTGTGCTCATCAAATATAATGGAGAAGCAACATAGGAGAAATAAGAGTACTCCAACAGTACTTTAATATAACAAAACTAATAGTCCTAAGAATAGCCACCCACGGATTCTGAAGGGTTTTCTTCAAAACTATTTATACGTTGAGTTTCAGTAAGTATGAAATGGAAATGCTATTTTGGCTCGCCTAAGAAATCGCTACATATTGCATTCCTTTAATTCCTTCTCCTTGGCTCCAGCTGATTTAAGTCAAATTCAAGTTTCAGGAACTTTCCAGCTTTGGCAAAGCAAACCACAGTTGGTTTTATAACAGATTAAGCATTTGATGTGTTTAAAAAAAAAAAAGAAAAGCAAATTGTTCCATTATGGAAGTCTGAACTTTGACAGCTTCTCTGTGCGACTCATCCTTCAGTAAGCCAGACACTCTATAGTAGTAACAGAAGCACCTCATGCTCCAGACCAGCACATTACTGACCTCTCCATCCCCAAATATTGATGTATAGATCCACGGAGTACCTTGTATCTATTTCAGTATTATTTCCTTTAAGCCATGCCTCTACTCCCTCATGTAGGAATGCAACAGACAAGCAATGTTAGTACTACTGCTCCTCTGGCCTAAATATGAACAGGATTTATTAGTCAGCCAAACAGGAATTGAAGGAAGTTGACAAAATGACTTGGAAGCATGCTAAGGCTCTTTATAAAATTTATTTCCATTTGCAACCTTCCAGAATCAGGCCTTGAAAGGAAAGGAAAAAGAGTTTTGAGAACATTTAGCATTATACTGCTTTCATGACTGCCAAATCCTGGGAGGAGGGATATCAGAGAATCGGCAAGGAAGTGGAAAGTTATTGTCAACTAAAAACATTCCAACAATGGGCACATTTGAAGAAAATCTACATCAAGAAGTTAAAAGCACACATGTAGACAGTGTTAAGGCTATTTTAAGTCTACTTGAAATTTCCTCTCCAAACCATTGTTTGCCGGCTTGTTTCTGTTTAAATCCAACTTCCTCATTCCTAAATGGAAACCTAATTGATCTATAAACATGTGTACCTGAAAACACTGTCAGGAGACTACATTGAGATGAGTTGTTCTATTTACTTTTAGCTAAAAAAGGTCCCAGTATTTAGAATTTTTTAGCAAAAAAACCCTAAGGGATAGATTTGCTAAATATCACATAGGATTGCCAGTAAGAGTTTAAGAAAAAGAGCACAGGAGGGGACTTGTATCTTGCATCAGGAGTAGAACTTTTCAGGTTGAAGACATAGAAGTAGCATTCTCATTTGGTAATCCATTTAAGGGCTTTTATTTAAAAGACCATTTAAAAATAAAGCAGACAACGCCCACCCTTAATGTAGCACTTTCCTCTTCTAAAGCTTGAAATCAATACAGCTGAATACATACTGCTTCAAACCAATAATTTTCAGCTTTCAAATCAAGTTCCTTTTCCACCAGTTCAGTGGCAACTGCACATTACTCCAGTCCATTAAATATTTTGCATAAAGATTCTAATAAAAGCTATCACTTCCTTTTTACAATAACCCACACCCTGTCTCACGATCAGAAAGCTAACACTTCAGAAGAGCAGTTGCTACTTCTTAGTAACAGCAGAGAAGGAAAATAACAATGCTTCCAAGTCATTCTTGTGATGCAAATGCCAATAGTAACATGAGTTAGCACCTATGCATTGCAATGGCTTTTTAATCTGCTTTTGGTAGCAGCTCCATCATACTCAAACTGTTCTGAATATCTCAGATGGTAGCTTCCACCCTTACTAATTCAACTCTTTCACTTCTAGCCAAAAAAGCATGTAATTACTTTTGATATTCAAAAACCCTAGGAATTATTGTAGTGATTGAGATCATGCATTGGTGACTTTCCCTAAGCAGACTGTTTCCACCCAGTATTCTGGTCAATTACACTAAACTAGGAATTAATATAAAGGAAGCAAGGGTTTGCTTTTTCTAAGAAAATAACATCCTGGAAGTATTATGTGTGCATTGACCATCAACAACACAGCCCCTCAATAAGTTGAGAACCTAAGAAAATAGCTGCGAGAGTTAGCAAAATTAACTTCTGAAAGCTTCTTATTTCGGTTTAAGTAAGATTTAGACTTCACTAGCCTCATGCTTGCAAAGATAAGCTGACAGACAGCTTTATACAAAACTGTGACGCAGCAAAATTTAAAGAGATTGTTTCACAGTAGTCAGCAAATAACCTGCCAAAATCCCACTTCTCCTCTATCCTCTCTCTTACAGGACTCTTGTTGTGGTGCATCTCCTTTTGTCAGGAGAAACTAATTTGTGAAATACCAGTTCTAGCTTAAAGGACTTGAGAAATCTTCCAGCAATGTCACCTCCACAGTCATCTTCTACCATGAAACTTCTATTATAAGAACCACCATATCAACCCCGGAGTCTTTAGCGCTCTTCTCAAAACTTGGTCTTTGCTTAATCAAGAGGCCTGTGCTCAGCACCTGAGAAGAGCTGGCAACCACTCACCTTTCCTTAAACATTTAGGGCCTAGAAAGACACAGGTTTGTTTGACAGCAGTCTCAGTAGGTATGTTAAACTGATAATTTTTAAGTTACAGTAGACTCAGATATCTGAAAGTGGCAGGAGGAAGTAAAACAAGATGAAAAAAGGCCTCTGAACTTCCCTAACATTGAGTATTGAACCAGAAGTTGCTTTCAGCTGGAAAGCATGGCCACTTATAGAAGAGTAATTCAAAGTAGGTTTTCTCTTTCCTTGGGTTTTTTTAACATAATATAAAGCAACTCACATAAAAGCCATCTTTAAGCAATACTCAGTGTGGCCTTACCAATTTCTAAGGATTTTCAGTATCCTCAATTGCTGTTTCTTTTACAGAGTGAGTAAGCACCCAACAGTGCTGGAGAAATAAACCTAGGGTTTGGGAAGAAAGAAAATCCTTCAGGGTTCTATCTGTGCTCGTACCACATAAGATGCTCCCTAAAAGCCAAATGCACGTATGTCAAGGAGAAAGTGATGAAAGATTAGCAGGCAAATCCAAACTTGTTACAACAGAAGCACTGCGGCAAGTACTGCACAACTATTCCAGCCCTGGGCCAAGCACTGCATCTTGCCAATACCTTCAAAACACTAAGAGTTGCTTTCCTTTCTAAATCCAATCACTAACAATTGTTTTCCTAGCAAAAACAGAACTGAATTTTTCTGGTAGTCAAAATAAGCCAGAAGTATTTAGACTGCTATTGACCATGTTCCCAAAACAGCGTTAGGAATCTGGTTTAATCACAGTGCAATGCAAGCTCAAGGACACAGCTTGCAGTTGATGCTTTTTATCGAATTTCTGCTCTCTAAAACATTAGTTTTTACCAATATTTAAGTTCCAAAATTGAAAAAGCCCCTTAATACCACAATTTTAAGTAGCAATTCCAATGCAATAGCAGCTGCTGATGGTCACAGACCATTAGCATTCAGATGTGCTAGTGACTCTAGAGACGTGTTAGCCTGTGGTGAATATAAAACCATCATCTTGCATTGAGGGTCTTGTACCACTACCTTATCACCCCTCAGCATCCCCAGCTACAGCTGGGAAACACTCATCTTGCCTTAGTTACTTGTCTGCTGAGAACAATGATGGTGAAGCTGAGAGATCTGACTACAGCCCAGATCTGTGCAGCTCACGCTGGCCTATCTCTGCTCCCAAAAACCCCAGCCTTGAGCAGACAGATCTACCTCCCAGCTGGTACCTGAGCTGGCTGCCCAGGCTGAGGGACACACTGCAACAATTCCAAACATCGCCTCTGAGCCAGGGTCAGGCAACATGCCCACAGGGACACAGAGTTAATCATCCTTTCTAGGTAAGTTCTGAGAAAGCTTCACAGATGGCAAGTGCCCTGCCGAAAAATTAGATTGGGAAAAATTAACTCTTTAACTCTTGGAGGTATTCCAACTTCCTGTTTTGGCTTCAAAACTTAAAAAAAGAGCTAGATTTTTATTGGTATTCATAGATCTACTAATGACATCTTTTCTGCCCTCAAAAAGAATAGAACCATTACTTCTCATTCTAGGAAATATCATTTAAAATAGAAAGAACTACAACTCTCTAACAAGAGGATAATCTGCAACGTTCTTAGAGAATGTTTGTGCACCAATGTTTTCCTCCTTAACGTGTAAACACATTCCTCTGGCTGGTTATTATGAAATACTTGACAGCCTTAGCTGTATTAAGATTTAATCAAAAATACTTTGGCCCTACGCTTCTGATATATTGCTCAAAGGGGTTGTACACAGCAGCTCTTTCACTTCTTGAACTCTGTACTTTGCTTGCAGCGTGCTAGCAGCATAATCAGTTACGCAGTATTAACACCTACACCCCATTTTAGTGAACAAACAGGAGAGCAAGAAATTTGCCAACATGCTAAACGGCAGGTGATGGATATATGAGTGAGTAGGCTTTGATCTAATGTAGGAGGTATCCCAGATTAGAGGTAATACAGTGCAACAGTTTCTGATACTTTAAAGATCTAAGTTAACTCCTGCAGTAAGGCAGGCTACATGAATGTAGACTGGAGTCCAAAGCTTCTCTTAGACATTTACACACTCCGAAGGTGGGTAACAGCCTCTGTTCTCCTCGCACTGGTCCATATCTGACATCAAAACCTGCCCAGATAAAGATGCAGCTGCATCCTTGGCTCTTATCAATGCAGTCTAAGCACGCAGACCGCTAAGCCCCAGGGTCAGGCCTTTAAGCTTAAAGGCAGACACTGTCTGTTACAGGCAAGCCTGCACCATGAAATTCTGTTCAGGTTTAACTCAGATACGAACTCTTAAAGATTGCTATTTCCTCTTCTCTCCTTCAAGAAGCACATCAAAGCAAACTGAACAGAAATATGTTAAGATTCAGCCCACACTCTCACCCAAAAAGTGGGCACATCCCACTTTACCCTGCACAGTACTAAGGTGATACCAGAATCACTGCACGCAGGAGTGGTATAAAAGGGAAGATGCTCAGTCCCATTCAAAATTTGTTATCCAACTTATACTACAGAAAGTCATTTCCACAGGAAGGGAAGAGACCAACCAAGACCACCTTTTAATCAAAGCAAGAAAACACCCCTAACATATCCAAATGTCACTGCTTGCAGCAAGCTAGGTACAATTACTGGCACAGTTCAACAAGGAGCAGTATCTACTACTGCTTCAAAGGGTCAAGATTTAAGTCCTGTTGCTTTTTCATAGGTATTACTACAGCGAAAGAAGCTGTTTACCTCTTTATCAGGCAGGAAACTGCATTTTAAACTCTAAGAAGTCATACTAAATTGCAAAAAATCAAGCTCTGAAGGGGCAGGTGCTGTTCTCTAGAGTTTTGTGACTCCATTTCCCTTAAACGCCCACCTTTCAGTGCACACATTGCACAGTATGATGTCCTGCACTCTAGGAGCATTAAAAGATTTAGCACTTCAATATCTAATTGCGCAGTTTCAGAAGCACATATGCATTTCATCCTCTGCTAATGCTGTGGCAAATGCTCCCAGCACCCAAAACTCCAGCATTCTGGGAGCTTGGGAAAGAAGACCAAGATTTCTACCACACACTAGAAGTTGGTGGTATAACCCTAACACTAATATTAATGCACTTAAGAGTGCTTCTTTGATGGCCTATTACAACAGACACCAATCTGATGGCTGAAAAAAACATCTTTGAGAATTAGAAGCCTGACTCCAACTGCTTCAGAAAAACATTTTCAAATAGCCTTTGAACAACAGAAGGAAATCTTTGGCTTCAGTTACTCCAAACTTATAGCATTTGTACTTCCGGCTTTTAGAATTCAGTGATGATAATTGAAGGCTCATATAAGAACTACATGTGCTAATCTTCAGGGGAAAAAAAAGGGGAGGGGAGGGCAGAATCCCATTAGTCACTTTAAAGAATTACTTATTAAGTCTTCCTCTTCCAAATTCAACTACTTCTACCGCCTGTTTTCTACAGAGTTCAATTGGCACTTGAAAATGATTCTTAGCATGCCAACGAAAAACACATTCTTGCCACCTCTCCACAGGAAGCAAAAATAGACTAGTGCTTTTTGACTTCTCAGAAGTGTTGATAATCTGCTTCTGTAAGTGCGGCTATAGCTTTACATTTTTAATATCAAATGTATGTTACCAGCTCATTGAGAAGCATGACAAATTTGACAGTGTTTCCACCTGATCTGCATAAGAGCATTGTGACATGTCCTATACAAATTTCATTGCTTTAATGCCAACTAATTAAAAACTAGCAATATCTGGTAAACATTACTTTAACCAGGACAAGTTTACATCCTTTGCACTTGATGTCTTCCTCTCCTTGCCAAATCCTGAATGCTGTGGCTAACAGGAAGCTTATAAAGTTAGCATATGCTGTTCCTAGCTGGTCTGTTTGCTCTTTTTGACCTAATAATAAATGTTAAAAAGATGGTTTACCAGCTCAGGTAACACCATGGCTCTGCTGACTTTCAGCACCCATACCATACTGTCTCCCATAAGATCAGGCTTTTCAAATGATAATTCATGCAAAAATTAATGCAAATTCAGTTTTAAGAGTTTTATGTTTTAAAAGTAAAATTATCTCTGCAACAAGCTACCTCTCAAAGAATGCATTTTCATACTTTAATGCGCTCCTTTCAATCACTGCCGTAGTTTCTGGGCAGGAGCTCTTAAGAAGCATCTCCTACCCCTCTTCACATTCAAAAGTCAGTTTCCAGGTAGCACAGGGGAAATTCCAGCTCTCAGCACTATACTGCAGACCCCTCAGCTCTCTCCTAGTCAACAACCCCCTGGGCTACCTGCTTCCTCGCTTCCACTTTCATTTCATCTGAATAACTGCTTAATGGCATTACCAGCTTTCACGACAGATGTTTCACATGCTTTGTGACCCAGCGCCGAGGACCAGGATTAGACTCTGAAGACATTTTCCCTTCCACCTAGAAACCATTGTCCTCAGCAGCCCACCGCTGCCTCTCACGCAGATCTGCCAACTCACTCCCTGAACCCTTTCAGCCAGAGAGAAGCAGGTTTGAGACCTTCAGAAGGGGCTCGTTTGGACTGAAGCAGCTCAGGGGGCTCCAAACTCTCCTGCCAGGCAGGGCACGGCAGTAACGCACCCTCAGGCGATTCAGCCAGCACAGCTGAAGGCAGGGAACACATTCCCACGTTTTTGGTTCTGCTCGCTCCAGAACCCTTCCACACACACAAAGGAGCTGTGTGTAGGATCTGGAAAGCAGGCCAGGAGTACAGCAGCCTTTTCCTAGGGATGGGGAAGGCTGTCAGCCCCCGGGCCGAGCCGCTGCCTCCCTCCGCGGGCAGGAAGGCAGCTCCAGCTTATTCTCCTCCCTCGAACTGCAGCTTCGCTTATTTCCTTGTGGCTCCAGGCAAAGAGTCACGGCTACGTGCCTCCCGGCAAAGTTAGAGCGTAAAAACAGATTCCCCCCACACACAGACCTCCACACCCGCACCCCGCCCCAGCGCTACCCTTCCCCGGCTCTGCCACCCCCCGCCGGCTGACACCCCGCCCTGCTCCCCCGGTTCGGGACCCTCCGGGGTCGGTGGGGTGCTCTGCCCCAGCCCCGCACGGCGCGGAGACCGACGAGGGAGGGGAGCGGAGCGGACCCGACCCTCCAGCCGAGCCCCCGGCCGAGCCCCTATGGAGGAGCGGGCCCCGAGGCGGCCTCACCGCCCCCTGAGGCGCCTCGACGGCCTCCGCTCACCTGTCCTCGCTGGCCGTGATGACCCCGTCCTCCTTGGGGATGAGGAGCGCGGCGCTCACCACGTCCTGGTGCCCCTCGACCTTGCTGAGGAGGACGGGCCGGCTGCTCTGGGGCCGCGAGTGGATCTCGGCCGCCATGTTGCCGCGGGACCGGCCCGCCGCCCGTCAGCTGACGGCGGGGAGAGCCCGGCCGCCGCCGTAACGCTGCGTGTAGCGGCGCCGCCCCGCCGGGCCGAGCTGCCCCGTGTAGCGGCGCAACCCCTGGCGGCCGTATTCCCTAGAATAGAAGAGCCGCGGGGGCCGTATTTCGTAGAAGAGCGGGATCCCCCGATCCGGCTCGGTGCCGGGGCTACCGGTGTGGGGAGGTGTCGCCTTCAGGACGGCCCTGGCTTCCTACCGGGGAGCGAGGTGGCGGGGCTGGCTGTGCCACGGGCGGGTGGTTTGTTAAATACAGTTATTGCCGTCGCCTCCCGGGCCGAGCAGCCCATCGCTCCCCGCCCCTGCCCCGCTGGCCCGCAGCCACCGCCAGGCAGCGAAGAAAAGGATATTCCCACCGGAATAATTAACGGGGGGAGGGGGGGGATATGGACTGAGGAAGGATGTGTAGTCACAGGAAATTTATTAGCTGGTTTCTCTCTGTCTTTTAAACTCCCAGCAGCTGTAAGCTTTTACCCTCTAAGTTCTTCAGCAGCTGGGTCGTGCTGGGTATTGCCTGTGTCCAGTGCGTGTGGCTGTTCTCCAGCCCTCACTGATCAACAGCAGAATTCCTCAGTTTTGTCAGTCGTGGTGGTGCTCACACCTTTGGGTCCAATCTTGAAAGAGAGCTCCTGCTTGTCAGGAGTAGCCAGGGGCTGGTGGAGAGGCTCCTGGAGCCGGTCAGGACCCTTCTCTGTGAGCAGAGATGTAGTTTCTAATCCCAGGTCCAGCAAATATGTAAATATTTGAACAACAGTGTGTCTGGATATAACCAACACACAAACCAAGCTTAGATGAAAATCCTAACTGTGAGCTGAGCAAAGCTGTTCCTGCTCAGCTCAGTTCCTCCTCCTGCTTAGGACTGTACCCAAAGAGCTGAGCTACCAGATGAGGTGAGGACCAGTCTCCTGGATCACAGTGGTGGGAGCATACCATTTGATAACCCATCACAGACCACGCCACAAGCTCGCAGATAGGACGGCTAGAGGAGGCTTCCCTGGGCTCCCGGAGGAAGGCAGCAGCCAGCCATTATCCTTCCCCCAACCTGCCCCAAGAGAGGAATATTTTCTCCTTTACTAGGTTTCCCAGCTATTTGCTAGGCAGCAAAGGAAACCAACTCAGGAAGAACGGAGCCAGCTTGAAGTTTTTAAAGTATTTGTGGTTAAATGCACTTTGCTTTGCCTTCAGCTTTTCCCTGTTTCCTAATATTTCCTCTCTATTTCCAGAATCCACTTTTCTTTGACCCTCCTTGACCCTCACTCCTGCCCACTCCCCATTCATTCAGCTCACATCTGTGTCATGGTGCTTTTATTCCTCTGGTGTTCCTCTTTTGGTCCAGTTCCTAAACTTATAACCTGCCTTTTCCTCTCCATTTCTTATCCTTCTTCAATCTATTTTTTCCATCACCCTGTTTTGCATCACTAACACAATCAAAACAAGCAGCAAATCAAACCAGCCCTGCACTACCTCATGTCTCCCATGAGGGGACTTTACATCTCCTGTGGTTCTGAAGAGGCTCAGCTGTAAGATGAAGTGGCAAGATAACAAACAGACCCTGTGACAAGGGACTGACTACGTTCACTTCTTCCAGGGTTGTGCAAGTCTTCACCCAGGCTTCACAGGGAGAGGTCACTGGAGGATGTGTGGAAGAAACAGGTCTTTCCCAAACAGGTGACTGTGCAGAGCTACCCAGAGAGCCCATCCCAGAGCCTCAGAGGGATGCAGGTGCCCGAATCCCCTTTGAATCTAGAGGAGTAAAACACCTATCTCCTTTTGAGGCTCTTGATCTCCATGTCTACAGACCTTATGCTTGCTGTACACTACAGGGAGCTTTAGGGTTTCTCCTGGTGCTTTACTGCTTGCTACCTGCCCTGGAGCCGAGGTCCAGCAGACAGCAGAGCTGGTCGCTCAGCCCAGTGCACTCGGGGATGCTGGCTGCCTACAAACAGCTTGTGCAGGAGCACCTGCAACCATCTACCAGTTCCTTGTACCAGGCCCACCTTTACCAGAAGCTCCAGAGGTAAGATAAATAGTTTGTTGGGTAATGCGCTGGTCCGTAATGCTGTGAGAATCCAGCCTGAATCCCGTTTGTAAGGGGGGATGTGGTGTGTGGCAGTGTGACTGTCACCAAGGACAAGAATGTTACTCCAGGTCTGGTCTAACAAATGGGGGCAGTACAGACAACAGGCAATGACCACTAAAATCTGCCAAACACAGTATTTCAGGCCTTGGGCATGTTCGCTGTGCAAGGCTTCCTGGTGCCTGCACACAGCAGCACAGTGCTCAGCCCAGTGCACATACCCATAACCAAAACTAATAATTCTCTCATAATCCAAGCAGCCACCAAGTGGCACCTTGTTGCCCAATGCTCTTTTTCTGCTCAGACTTGTACGTACCTTATTCCTCTGCTTTTTAAAGCTGACCTGCTTAGCTCATGCCAGTTGTTAGGAGTGAGATTCTGGCTCTGCCCAAAGAAGAGAGGGGAAGGCAGCACCCTCCCTACACAGAGACTTCACAGCAGGGATGTATGGCCGTGCAGCTATAGGGTGACATACCAACAGGGGAATGTTTTCAAGAACAACTATCTGAAGACTTTATTCGATGACTACTGGTTATGAGCTTTTTTTAGCCTTCCTTTTTTTAACCTTCTTTTCTTATCACGTAAGACATTCCCCCTGGCCTCATCATCTGGTACTCATCATCCTGCTGACCTTGACTTGGGATTGTGCTGGAAATGCGTTTTGGCTCAGAGGTACATCCTTCTACCAGCTCTTCCGTCTCCCTCTGAGCTCCTTCACAGAAGCAGGGGTTAGGAAAATACCTTGTGTTTTCCACCTTCAGAATCATAACCTACTGCATCCTCCTTGCTAAACCCTTCCTCCTCCTCCTCCCTTTCTTCAGCTTGCCTCCTATTGCCTCCCATATAGCCATAAAATACAGCACTGTCATTTCCCCCCTCCCTCCTGTGCTCCACAAAGCGCTCACGCCATGGCATGCCATGATGGTCAGTCTAGTTTGAAGGGATATTGTTCCAGGTAAATAACACCACAGCCACGCAGCACCTTGCACTGAAGCAGCAAGATTCCCATTTGTGTTCACAACACTTGGAAAGGTTCCATGCAGACCCCTGTCTTAGGCTAGATCGTGTCAGCTCTTCTCCCACAACAGGAATCCAGCAAAAGCTGTTCTTTTGTCAATAAAAGCCACGTTTGTATTGCTCCTTACCTATGCTGGTCCTTGCTCCTCCTCCTGCTTCTGCCTCTCTGGGGGAACATGGCACAGCACATTTCATCTCCTTTGTCTTTAGCAGGAGCACACCTTACCCGGGCAATTCTTTGCCAGTGTACCCTCTGTACTGGCCTTGTTGTGGGGAAGAAGAGAAAACTTTAATTTCCAGCCCATTTTAACAGGCAAAGAGCCATCAGCCAAGTTAGTGCTCCACTGCTTTCCTAGTTAAACCAGGCATAATTAACACAGCGTCAGCCACAAGGTATCCTTGAAAATAAGATAGGAAAGTAAAGAAACCCCCCAAAATCAGCCTCGTCTCTCCCCTATATGTTTCATCACACCAGAGTCCTGCAGAGGACCAACAGAGGTGGCAAGGCAGTGAGAAGGGCCACGAACACCTGGAAAGGGCAACGATACCCAGCAGTTCAGTATGCAGGAACAGGGAGAGCCAGCACCCAAGGGCTCTCCCAGGGGATCCCAGTCACTTCTCAGGGGCCTCTTGCTCAAGCTGCCTGCGTTGGGATGGCAGAGCCCTGCTCTGAGCTCAGGGGGAGGAAGAAGCAGCTTTCCCAAAACAGAATCATAGAATGGTTTAGGTTAGAAGGGTCCTTAAAGATCATCTAGTTCCAACCCCCCTGCCCTGGGCAGGGACACCTCCCACCAGACCAGGTTGCTCAAAGCCCCATCCAGCCTGGCCTTGAACCCCTCCAGGGATGGGGCAGCCACAGCTTCTCTGAGCAACCTGTGCCAGTGTCTCACCACCCTCATAGTAAGAATTTTTTTCCTGATGCCTAATCTAAATCTTCCCTCTTTCAGTTTGAAGCCACCAGCCCTCACCCTGTCACTACATGCCTTTGTAATAAAGTCCCTCTCCAGCTCTGCTGCAGCCCCCCTTTAGGTACTGGAAAGCTGCCACAAGGGCTCCCCGGAGCCTTCTCCAGGTTGAGCAACCCTAAATCTCTCAGCCCAGCCGGGAAAGCAGCCTCCTCGCCCGGGAAGAGCCGGATGCGGGCTGGGGGGAGCTGCGCGGGCTCTGCGGGGCTGGAGAAATAACTGGGGTCGGGGAACGCAGCCGCTACCGAAGCACCGGAGAGGTGCGGGTGTGCGTGCGAGCCTCGGCCGCGAGAGGGCGCTACCGCCCCGCCACCGCGCCGCTGTCCTCCCGGGGCTGGGGACAGCAAAGCCGGGGGGCTCCTGCGGGGACACCGCCCCCTAGAGGCCATCGAGGCGGGGAATGGGCCCCTCCGCTTGGCCCCGGTTGGTAGAGATCATCGCCAGGAGCTGCCGACAGAAAAAAGCAGAACAAAACCATTCGAATTCCACCATTTTTTTTCACATGTCTTTCTACTTTGAAGAATCACTGTTTTTAAGTACAAAGAAGAGCGCTGAGGGTGGCACTGCTGCCCAAGGGGACATGCACTGCCCCTGATCCAGCAGAAGCCCCCTGATGCCTGCTGAGGACAGCAGCCAGCCCAAGCTGGGGCAAGGAGCCTTTTGCAAGAGGAGCCAGAGGTGACACGGCCTTCAGACATGGTGACAGAGGTGGACATGCACCTACCAGTGAAACCTTGAACAGGCTAATAGCAGCAGTGTCCTCACCTCAACCATTTTGGGGAGGTGGAAGAGCCCATGTTGGGCAGATACAGCAAAAGACACAGTGCTGCCCTCCCTGCTCTTCACTACCTGTTCAGATCCCAAACCACCAGCACAAATTAGTCTGGAAGTGAAACAGGTGCTGCCTGTGGACCAAGGAGACA